AAGAATCCCGCCTGTTTCGTGTTCAATTGCCACCCCGGCCCATCGTGACACTGGGGCTTGGTTCATCCCCCCGGGACATACAGGACATAGAGGAAATGCAACAGCTGCCCACAGAGGCTTAAAAAACAAACTCAATTTGCAAAAACCAGGCCACTGTAGTATACGGATATAGCATATATACACTATATGCACTGTAGTATATGGAAATTGCATTTCCATGGACAGTTGCAGAATCAGTCCTAACAGGCCTAGCAGCTAATCATAGCTTAACTTCTAGTATATCTTATCAATACTTGCATATTTTAACTGTATTCCATTTCCATAACATTGTATCACATAATTTTATGGGCTCTATATTTTCTGTAAATCTTGCTTGATTTAGGTCCCAGTATTGCAAAGACTTACACACATGTGTAACAATATCTACTGTGATGTGCTTTCATTGACTATAAAGAACAAAATTTAGCATGTGCCTCAATCTCTGCAATTTTCATTCTGAATTATTATTATGAATTAAATAGTTTATTTTATAATTTCATTAACATTAACTAAGATGGAGGGAAAATAAATATTTCCGTATCTTGTTCACAAAGCAAATGCTCGCAAAGAAACTTGAAGAAGCTCAAATGGATATTGACTCTAAAAAAAAAGTTAGACATAAATCAACAAGTTGTAGTTTGTATTGACTGAGGTTAAATATTAAAATCAGGTTTTAAATTGGATATGAATTTTTTTTATATGATCCCTTGTCTAAAGGTGGTAACAACTGCCACTTTAAAACTAGTTGTTTTTGCTTCTAACAGTGAAATATGATTTTTTGTGGTTTAATTAAATATAATTTATCATGTTTAAAATACTGAGTAAGAAGACAGTTTTAGAATATTAACTGAAAGAGATAAAAAACCAACCCAGGTAAGTGCAGAGCCTTTAACAGGAGCATGCTGCTCATATTTCAGTTAGGACTTCTGAATTTTAGGTCTTGATCTTTCAAATGCTTACATAATTTGAAATATGTGTATGAGGCCATCTAACTTTCTTAAATGTATTAATTTTTATGCCATTATTAAGTAGTAGTTTGAAGGGATACTGTCAATTTATAATGTCATGTTGTATGTAAACAGTTTGCTTTAACTAC